ATGGGGCTTTACTTTGGCATCACCCTGTGGTAGTTTTCAGAATAACACTGCAGTAGACAGGTCGCCCAAAACAAAACATGGAGAAAAGAAAGCTCAGATCAACTACAATTGGAAATAACAACATCAAGCATTTAGTCTCCAAACCAGTTTTCCTCAGATTAAGGTTACTGATACTTGAATTGGACTTAAAGGTGTCCGGCTGTTCCCTCTGAAAAACAACACTGAAATGTTCCTGCTGCTGCTGCGTGTAAACACTCAGGTAATTTATTGCAGACCATTTGGCTGTGAAAAGCTGCCACTGAAGTGTGATGTTTCCTCCAATGATGATATGTTTGTAACTATATACACAGGGCTGTCTCATTGCAGCAACATCTGGCTGCAGCAGCCAGCGCTCTATTGATGCATCAGAAACAGGAATACCTGAGAAAAGTGCTCTAATATTTGAACAAGGGAACTTATGATTTGATAATCATATGGGCGCCAGTTTTTTGTTTTTTTTTTAATTTAAGGAATGGAAATTACTGGGAAATATGCTTTTCTGCTTTCTTACAAATAATTAAATGAGAAGATTGACCCCACTTTTGTAACTATAAGGCTACAACAAGCTGCCTGTTAGCCGAGCTAAGCATTAAGCATGGAGCGGGGGAAACAGTGAGCTTGACGCTGTCCAGTGGTCAAACCAGATATAACGTGTTCGTCAACAAGCTTTAAAAGTGCTGGTAGATAGATATAGTTCCACTGAGCTCAGCTGGCTGTCTTCCCATCTTCATGCTAAGCAGCTGGTGGCTGTAGCTTCATATTTAACACAAAAACATGACGGGAATCAATCTTCTCATCAAAGTCTTAGCAAGAAAATAACTGAGCAGTTTTCACAAAATGTTGAACTACTCCTTTAAGTTGATGTGACTTAAGTTATGCTTCAGGAATACTGTCCTTAACAGACAGCATAGCATTTTTTAATTTGTCAAAAAATGAGCAGCTCTTCGCAGCCTGACAACTGGTCACTGCTAATGTGTAAATGTTAATGTCACTTTTCATTCGGTGTATATTCCATTTTTATATGCAATGTAAAACTGTGTTGATATGTTTGTAAAAAAAAATAAACTGGCAAGGATTCAGTTCCCATTCATTGAGGATTTTAACATGGTTTAAAGACAGTATTGTTTGTAATTAAAGATTAAAAAGGAAATACTTTCCTTTATTCAAGAATTTAAAAATCAAACCCACATAATGACAAATGTTTGTTAAAATAATGTAAACATGACAGAACATGAGTGGTCCCACAATATCCAGCACCCATTGAGCAGTGAGAAGCCCTTACACAGCAGCTTATCTAATTACACAATAATATCCTTTATATGAAATAAATTACTGCCCGCTTTCCACATATGCAGCAGTCATAAAGATGAACATGGCAACTGTAAATACAGATACTGGAATTAAGATGAGTAATTGAACAATATAAAGTGTATCACACTCTGGCATTTGCTCTTTAAAGACCGATAAGGCACAAGGTGAGTAAGAGTCCTCAGGAACAAGGCAGCAGAAATAGAAAAGCAGTTGAAAGCAAACTGCTTGTGCTTCAGTGTTACTTAACAGTTCATAGTTTCTTTCTGAGGCAGCTCAATGAGACACTTAAGTCTATTGTCTTCTCTCCTCCAAACCCTTTGGATGCATTGACAGGAGCTCTGAAAGTTCCCATCTCCTTCACGTCACTAGTCACTGACGGTTACAGGAGTTAAGTAGTAAGATTATTTCCACTGGACATGTCACTCACTCTTTTCGTGTATGCAATTGCACAATGCTACCGTTTGGTGAAGGTTGTCCTGCGCACCTTGCAGATGGCTACACTGACAGAAGGGGAGAGAAAATATATACACATTATATATATATAAATTAATTCTTAAAAATTCAGGGTGTATCTCACTATTTTTAAACACCTTGGTAAAATTTCCAAAAATTAGAATACATTTTTGTGTGCTTGTAAAGAGCCGCTACAAGACGAACAATATAAGTGTTCCTGACTGGGCGGCTCTAGTTGAGTGGTATCTCTATGATGTCCTCCTCGATGATCTCCCCCTGCGGGACGGTGACGTGGTCTGCAGGGCTCTTCTTACAGCTCAGCCCACTAAAAGGGCTGCACCAGGACAGGGAGAACGGGCCTCCGAACGCCATCTGCATGGCCTCCCAGCATGGCACCTTCCCCCACTTCCCCGTCTCCCCCTTCAGGCGCTCGATTCCCTGGAGAGGACACAACAATGAGACTCTAAAGTTGAGGGAACGAAGCCAAAAACACACCGGATGTGTTCCTCTACATGCACCATCAACCACAACACAACATTATTATTAGCACTAATGTGGCAACAACACGTAGTGGCTCTGCTTTTGGGCTAGTTTCTCAAACACCAAAAGACAAATAAGTCTACAAATTTAAATTAAAGAATATGATTGGATCCTAATACTCATTTATCACATGTCTGTTCAAAGTTTTTCTGGTTGCTAATTATTCTTCCAGTTCATACCAGGCATGACGCAATCTCTCCTTGGTCTGACTACACTGTCACAACTACAGGGCAAAATCCACAATCCTTGTTTTGTGCATTTAAAGTGACTAGTGGCTCTACCGGTTCTTCATTAGCACTAAACACAAAGCAGAGCTGAGGGTGATGGAAAGTCAGTAGTTTTAACCAAGGTAGTGGATGAAAGACGAAGAAGGTTGGCCATCCTGACGGACACCGACACTACCACTCTTTGAGCTCACAGTGTCACTAATCAGACTGTATTATGAAGTCATCAGCACTGTGTAGCTAAAGTGAACGGGCCTCCTCATCCGGACTGCCACGCATCATCAATGTTTTGTCCATGACTTGTGTTAAAGTCTCATTTCCTCTGTAAATGCTGCTTAATCCCAACTGATCAGAAACGACCACAACTTGACCCCAACGGTGGCCACTGGATGCTGGCTCCAACCAGGCCCTTTAAAGAAGCCTCACCTCCCCTCCCCTTAAAAATACTAAGTTTAACATTAAGTCACTATGGTCTCAATTGCTAAACTGGGCCTCTCTAATAAGGGCTAGTGGTTGTTATAGAAATCACTGCTCTTTTAGAGCCTTTAGGCCCACAGAAGGCTTGACGTTGATTGTACAGAGGTTTATTGACAGCTATTCTCGCCTCTAAAATGTTTGTTATATATTTTAATAAACTGAATATCTCTGGGTTTTAAGCCATGGCCATCTGAAGATGTCACTGTGGGCTATTTGATGTGTGATGGCCAGTTTCTTGCAGGATTAGGTTATGATTGTTTTGAGGTTTGTGTAGGGAAACTAATCTGTGAGGAAAAGAGAATCAAACACAACGCCAGCAAGAAACCCTCAAGAAGTGCAGCTAGCACGGCTGATCTGCTATGACTCAGTAAAGACAACACAAATGAACTGAATACTAAAAATAATTTGGACAAAAGCGGTTACTTTTTCATTTTTAAATTCATTCCTTCAAATATAAGAGACAAAATTAAATATTGGATCTGTGATGAGCTGTTCAATTTCAGAATTCAGTGTGGAAGTGTGACAGAGTATGTCTCATACTTCAGTAAAACACACTGATCTGATGCAGCCTTCTGCTGCCCTCAACACATCAAACAAGTGCTCAATTTGCTGTTGCACGATGTCAAAACTAGAGAGCCTTGCTGACACCAAACCTGTTGCCTGTGAACTAAAGCAGGCTGGCAGCTAGCCACTGTGTAAAGTGTTTATGCTAAGCTAAGCTTCATATTTACACAGCGTTCTCATCTCAGCAAGAAAACTAACTATTAATAATTTCTCAATATTCCTTCAGTTGATTTCGTAGAATTCTGTATGTGTTACAGTAGAACACCCCTGATGGACATGGAGTACTATTTATTTTCAAAGATTTGCCCTTCAGTTGTTTAGATGAGATGGTCGAAGCCTAACATCAGCTGGCATTTAACGCCCGTCTTTTACAGTGCAGTCATGGAAAGATCACTTCACGATAGGTTACAGACAGGAGAGATTACAGCAACCAGTACCTCTGAATGTACATTAAATACATTTGACTGTGTATCCTTTAAAAATGCTTCCGTATTCATTTTAATTCATTTGTTTTTAAAGAAACCTGCCCAAGATTTTATAACACTTACAAAATGACGTACATGCACTTCAAAAATAAAGGCGTGGCACATGCATCACCTTACACACGGCTCACTCATTCATTCAGAATGTTTGGTTGAATTAGAACACAGCAAAGTAGGACTGAAAGCGCACTTTGGCCTTCTGACCGAAACCAGCATGCTCGCGACTTGTTAAGCTCGATGGGACAGCTAACGTGACCTCTTTTGCAAGCTTACCTCCATCAAGACTATAAAGAGCTGTCTGCTTCAGAAAGCTTTTTGGCAGAGTGGGTTATCAACCAAAGCAAAATGCATGAGTGTGAAGAAGACACTGCATGGGAAATAGCCAGATTACAGACAATACAGGGGGAGCAGAATGGAAAATAAGGATGAAGGGAAAATGCAAGATGTGAGGGTCATGTCAGAAAGAAGTGCATGAAGGGAAAATAGAAACGGTTTCTATACCATTATTTGAATTTTAAAAAAAAAACACATCATATTAGCTCCTTGACATTCAAGGAAAAAAAACACACCCCAAAAAAGAAGCAAACACAGTTTTTGCATTGCAACAGAGAAGTATTTATTCTCTGTTCATGTGCTGAAAGATCTTCAGAATATTTAGAAAGAATTCAAATCTCTGTAAAAAACAAATTATCTCCACCATCACTCTCACCAGCGAGACTTGGCACCATCATATCAGCAGAGTTTCACATACATGACTAAACTAGCCTTCACCTGTACCATGCATTCAGAAATAACAAAGGATACATACAATATCATGTAAACAAAGAATAGAAGAATAAAATGCACGTTTTGGAACAGAGCAGTTCACACAGAAAAAGATCTTAAATGATAAATACAAAGTGCAATTTAGCCTTTTTTAGTACTTGTGTAAATGTGAATGGTGAAAGTTAATACTTTGTTAAATGCTTTGAAGTCGTCTGAATAGTGCAGAAATACAGTCCAGCTGTTGCAGACAATTTTTATACAGAGCTTCCCTTTAACTCCACACAGGATTTAATACGTTCCCCGCAGCAAAGATGATTTTAAAGCCGAGCCAGGGTTCTTTTTTGAGAATTTCATTTCAAAGCTTTGCCAAATAGTCGTGTAATTGTGGGGCTTTATTGAAATTGGCACACGCTCACAACATGAAAACACCACACGGGCTTAGAGCACAGGAGCTGATTCACTGGCAAGTGTTCATGCACACGCAAACAGGGAGCGTTGGTGGGAGACTACAGTGGGAGGCTAAACCTTTCTTCAAAGAAAAAAAAAAAGGAAAAGAAAAAGGGGAGAGGGGGGAATGAACATATGTTACAATGTGGTTGTTGACAGTCTGTCAAAAACATTCTGACAACCATGTTTTTCTGCTCAAAGACAGATTGAGGTTAACATTGGTACGGACTGAAAGCATTTCATTTCCTTGAATGATTCAGCAAAACTTGCCACGACCACAGAAAGCTGGCATTCTGACTGTGGATGGGATTCTGTTTGGTGGAACAAACAGAAACCTCCTGGCTTGTTTGGGCCAAAAATAAAATGCATCTCTGCTTTGTAACAGAGACTTAGTTTGTGTCGAGCATGTATCAGAGAGGAATCAGAGACAATGTTCCAAACTTGGGCAACAGGTAGTTATTAAAATCACTTTGAACACATGATTAAACTGCAGTGGGACTTTTTTGGTCTTTTATGTTGTAGTATAACAGCGATACTCCAGAGTCTGTCGTGTCAGACTCCAATACAACACAGTAATTTGCAGTCTTCTACTTAGTATTTGCAATAAATACCAAGGATTGAAGGTAGAGATGCACCGATCAATATCAGGGCTAATACTGACCTTTTAAAGCACATCATTTTAATGCTATATTCATTATAAATATTCAGTATTAATCTATCAACCTGTCATAGCAGGCTACAACCTTAGGTTTAGGTGCCACAGCCGTCCCCCACCTCATGTAATTTTACATATAAATGACCTCAAAGAGTTCCAGGTTGTGTGGTGTGTCACCGTGTGTACGAGTAAAGTGGGAACCAGCAGACCCACTGAGCTGAGAATCAAATGTTCATTTCAGGAAAGTAAAAGCAGGAATCAGTGCATCCCTATTTGTAAGACTGCATGACACAAGTCAGAATCATCATTAGCAGAAAAAAAGGCAGAATGTGTAAAATTGAAAATATTTTCACAACCATAATAGACCAAAAACCTTTAGTGTGGAATTTGTAATAATTGAACAAAATCTCCCATGAATCAAGCAATAATAAAAAGTTGAACATGAACAAACTACACTGAAAGCAAAAAAATGCTAAAAAGAAGAGCTCACAGTAAAATCAGACAAGAGTGCCACCTTTGATCACACATTTAGAGTCTTTTTAATTTGTCTTAGAATATAGGGAACACTACATTAATCAGTCACAGGCTAACTACACACATACTATTAATCTCAGAGCATGAGTCCCTGTGCTGCTAAGGCTTCTGACACTTTTATTTTGTCAGGACAGCATATTGTAATCAGACAGTTTGTTGCACTTCTGGTCCACTGACCTGTCTGTCTAAAAGTAACTGGCCAATGAGGAGGCAGCACTGTATCATTCACCCACATGAGGACTCATGTCAGAAGTGAAACTGAAAAATTCAGCTGTGAAACTGGAAAAAGTGGTGGCAAAAGAGAAGGAAATCAAATGTAGCACTCTTGTATAATCTTACTGTAAGGTTTGAGGCTTTCACCTCAGTTTATTTTTATTTTACTTTTCATTAATTTCTTTTTGTCTGATTTTTAGGAGATTTTGTTTAACTACTGTGACATAAACTTAATCCAATAAAAAAAAATCTACAAAAATGATGGGAAACTTCATTTAAAAGGGTCGACGTCAGCATGGATCTGGCTCTGACAATCCATTCTACTGGGGACCCATTTTAAAGGTTTACTTTGTCCATGTCTGGAACACATTACCGACTACTGTCTGTCAAGAGGAAGATTTGAAGAGTCAGTGCACCTAAATTACAAAAAAAAAAATACTGTCCACTACCAATTAGTGGCCTCGACTCAATTTCAATTACCAGTGTAATAAAGGCAGGATATTGTTTGAGGTGCTTCCAAGCATTTCACCACTTGAAACACTAAAAAAACAATGTGCTACTTATTTGGAAAAGATGTCACAGTTAAAATGCGTTTTGCAACTACTTTCTAAACTTAAGACAGTGACTAAAGCTCAGGGATTTCTTTTTATAGAGAGGATGGGCTGCTTTTAATATTACATGCCATGGTCAGACCTGTATTTTTCAGTCAATTTCCTCTAAACTTTCCTCATAATCTCAGAATTTGCTGGTACTTCATCAGTTTACTAACTATTTGTCACTTACCTAATACATCATTTTCAATTATTGTCCTCTTTCATTTTAGTTGACAAATACAGGACTCAGAAAAAAAAAGTGCATGTTTATGTGCATGGCCAAAAAAAAAAAAGCGTGACTAAATGGGGTTTTTTTTGTTTTGTTTTTTGGAATTTAGTTGAACTGACCCTTCAAGGACAAGCAAGAGGTAACAGAGCAAGAGAAAGGAGGCTTAAGATACAACAGAAAGAGAAGGAGATCAGAAAGAAAAACCAACAGATTCATCACAGTGTTTGCAAACAGGAGTCACAAACTGAAAGTGTTTCTTTTTCTCTGCAACTCGACTCACTCAAGGCAACACAAAAATAAACGTATAGCGCACTTAGTTGGCAACAAAAAAAGCACATGAAAAGCTGTCCATGGCTAGTGTGGGATATACAGTGTAAGTCGCGTTGAGCAGCGGGAGCAATCGGGCTGTCATAGCTGAGTTCAATGGCGCTGGGCCGGCCTTCCCACTTTGGTTCTGACCCGGCCACCTCGCTCCCTGCGCTGAGCCCTCACACCACGTACTGGTAGGTCTCAGCCTTCCCGTGGTCAGGGGTGGAGAAGGGGCTAAACCACAATAAGGAGAAAGGGTGTCCGAAAACCGCCCTCATGTTCATCCACTTAGTTTTTTTAGCCCATCTTCTCTCTTCCTTTTTCAACTGCTCTATGCCCTGAAAACGAGAGACAACCAAACTTCAGTTGGTGTGCTTTTGAGACCCAAAAAGTTATCACAAACCAAATTCCAAATACCCAAAATGAAGATAATCTGGGCCATTATTTCAGGCTTTGAGTGACTCCTCTACCAGAATAATGCAGCTACGTGTGTTCTGTTGCCTTTCTCTCTGTGTTTTGTACAGTCTTCAATATGTTAAAGCCCTCTCTCCAAGATGAAATAGCAAAATGTCTCTCATATCTCTGACCTAGAGTTGCAGACAAAAAGAAGTTCAAAGCAGGAAAAGGAGTTTGGTTTCGTGAGCTACAATTCACAGGCACACCAGTACAGTAGGCTCAGTTATTTTAACACAGCACCAAACTTCATGGAATAGTGATTCCTTCTTCCACTGATACATGGACAGTTTTGTTCTTTAAGCATGGCACATGGTGATTGTCACACACTAGACACAACCTCTGTGGCACCTTAGAGATATTTTATGAGTAGGTTGTTCAAGCTCAAAGTACGTCCTCTTCACAGCCTCCAGGTTAAATGTATAGCCTTTAGTAATGACTTTAAAGGCTACTACCATCTAGGAATAGTGTATACCACCGACATCACAGGAATAAAGGTGGATCACAGACAGATGAGTCTTTTTTTATCTCGGAAATTATAAAGCATTTATAGTTGAATTTACAAAATATAATCACTGTGCATAAAAAACATCAATATGTAACCTAACTGTTGGTGTCAAGGAGAGCAGAAAGTCAGTCACACGTCGCAGTGTGTTCTAAATTTCGAGTTATGGTGTCAATCATATGATGACATTTGGATCAAAAACTGTGCATTTGAGGTAACTGCCAAAATAAAGGAAACAGTTGAGTACAAAATCAAGAGGCCGGGGAGAGACAGAACTGAGCCTTAGCTTAGTCCGACCCTACCTCATCCTCCATTTGGACAGACAGTGACACAACAGTCCAAAGCCATTCAGTCAACAGTCGACCTACAATGCTGACCTGTTAAAGATGCCTAGAATGTAATTATACTGACATGTAAAGGTCATTAAACGGGCTCATCAAAGACAAAGAGAGAATGAAAGACATACAAAGCTGATAAACATGGGAGGGCGCCTAAATATGGTATAGATAGTACAGATAAATCAGAGTGATTCTGTGGTTTGCTAGTAACGTCTGTAGGACACAGCAGCACAGAGTCTCCATTAACACTGACAGCCACAGACTAACTGTGTAGATTGCCTCCTTGAAAGGTTCACAATGAATTAAATGTGGCTGGGCTGCAGCTACTGCACTCTGGCTTGATAATCACCACACCACAGTCTCTGCCATAAAAACACCAAAAACCAAGCAGCCTGATTTAGATGGCTGGATGTAAGAGCTGCAGCGAGACTACAGCTGAATTCAGTTAATTACATTTCCCTAGTTACTATCTGGAAATGAAAAATATCTATTTAATGAAATTATATTTTGGTTATTCAGTTTCTTATTACACATAATGAAATACGGTAGCTCTAGTCACATCGTTAACCGTATTCAATTTTGAATGTATAATAAAAATTTCACAATAAATATGAATAGTACTTGGACTGAAAAAAGGGCATCTAAATACAGACACACGATTCCAAATGGTTTTGGAGTGTAAGTAATAACCAAACAAGTTAAAATGGAGAAGTAATCCCAGATTTTGGGACTAAAATACTCAGTCTAAAACAAAAACATACATTGAAAGCAATGCATCCAGCCCTATAACATTAGACAACAAGTTGTACAGCAGAACAGATTTGTCTTATACATGCCTCATAAGCTTTTTGAGAATTTTGCTACTCAAACGTCTAAGTAGATTTTCAAATAATGGATCTTTGATTGTACACAAAAGTCAGCTTTGTATTTTTTTTTTGCCAAAAACTACTGGTTTTACCTGATTTGCCTTCTGACGTAGCTAGCTGGCAAGTAGCATTAATTCTATGGTCAAACTTGAGTGTTTCCAGCTGACTTATTAGAAAAATTAGTGTTTGACAGGTACACATCTCTGTGTAATTATGGAGATGGGTAATATCCAACATGCCAAAGTGAAATTATTATATAGATACAAATACAATATGTAAGTGTCATTTCTGATATACACGTCCTGTATAACACGTGCAACAGAACAACTGTGGCGGCACATGGTAGTCCAGCTCTGCATTAACATTATCATATTCTACTCTCAATGAAGGGCAATGAACAGTCACAGAAACCACAAATGTACTTCGAAGGCACTCAAGGTTGACGTTTCTTTTTTGGCAGTTACTTTCTTTTCAGACATTGTTTGCTTTAAAACACTTGCAGGGAATTTGCTGCAAATAACTTTACTTCAGGTTGCAGAGTAAAAGACATCACTCAGCTGTTAACGGTTTGATTTGGAAGGTTAAAAATGTTCAGGTTAAAAAAAACATCAGGATGCAGCAGCAGGGAGAAGGTCTACAGAGCAGAAGGGAGAAGTGAGAGAAGAGTAGAAAGGAGGAGGACAGCAGGTCACTAAATGGGTCACTTACGGTCTCGTCGGTACAGATGGAGTGGACTTGGGTGCCGAACATCACAGAGGTGAAGATGAGGAAGAGGAGACCCTCAAAGCACAGGAGTATGAGAAGGATGACTGTTGCTGGAGGAGAGAAGGAACTGCACTCTGGGGGATGGAGGGACATGGAGGCAGAGAAGTGAAAGGGCAAAGAAGAGGTTCATATGAGGAACTACTACAGTGCTTAAACAAAAGTACAGCACTCTACTGCTGATTGGGGAAGCTCTACAGTGAGGTACAAGCTTTTGTGCCAACACATATCTGCATCTGTCAAGTGATGGACGGCTAGTGTGTGTTTGGGGTCAGGAGGTTGAGGTTGGAATGTTTAACCAAGAAGAAAGATGTGTGACTATAGTATTAGCACAACACAAAAAAAAAAAACCTTCATGATCTCCATGACATACGAGCCCTTGGGATTACTAGTTCATCTCATTAACATGCAAATCTATGCAGCAAGGTCCAATCAAATCATCTAC